GTATTTGCCATTTTTTGTTCCGAACAGTAATTTTTGAATTAATTTTTGAGTATTATACTTAAAACTAGCCAATTATAGATTACAGTTAAACAGAAACTTGTCTGCGTCGACAATATTAGTGAGCGCGCATTTCATGTGCTCACTGATATTAGACAAATGATTGTATGCGTAACGTCACTGAAATACCGCGTGTATAATATTTATTCCAAAATAATTAATGCTATAAACAAATGTAACGAATAAACAAATAAGAAATAAATTTATAAGTAAAGTAAAGTAAATTTTATAATTCGTCCGAGTTTATCACTATACATTGATGTACGATAATATCAATAAGAAATCTCAATAAGATTTGAATAACAGCAATCAAAATATCACATAAATACGTGTTATTTTATAATCTTGCAATCTTGTACATTTATTAAAATATTCAGTTAATTAAAGATTAAAAAGAAACAGAAAATAAATGTATAAGATTACAAGATTATAAAATAATAGCACATAAAAAATTAAAAAGACAACAAGGGCGTTAGGAGTCAAGTGCAGTAAATGAGGCGCAAATAATTATCCGTTGAATTCTGTCTATATTTTGTGATTTTTCTTACGTTTCTGGATCCACTTTCAGATTATCTTCAGTAGATAAATATATCCATAATAAGAATGACTTGAAGCGTATTAGTTCATGACTTCACAGATTCGCATCGATAAATGCAATAGTGCAATATCTCGAGAGCTTCTGTCCAAACAGTTCCACAGCTGATGTAGGAGACACTGTATGATCAATATCATTTTGGACCATTTATGATATATTGAACCAAATAAGTTTTTGATGTGTCAAAAAAAATTAGAAGGACAAGGAACTGTTGGAGACTCACCTCGATGATATCACCAGTTATAACAATAAGAAGCATATAGATGGGAATAAATACTGAATATTGCAAAAGCATGGTCACAAATAAAAGAATAAAAAATTTTTTAACAGAGAAATAAGATAAAAATCAGTTAACAAAAAGAACAAGTAAATACGTCTTGACTGTTTCGTGTCAATTATTAAAATGTAAAAAGATAAATAGCGCGGATGGAAAGTCAAAATTGTTAAGAAGAGCAATGCGGTCATACATTTATATATTGTTTATAACAGGGGTATAACAACTAAGAAATTCTGTGTCTGTTTACAAATTAATATATTTGTTTGTCTGTATTGTGTAGCATTTCTAGAATTAAACGTTTATTGTAATGATTCTCTATATCCAGAATCTTCATGTTAGTCCAATCGAAATCGTGTATGTACCCTATGGTCAGTAATGACTGAATGTGTAGAGGTATTCTACCTTATGTGACTTCGATGTTCATTAATTCTCGTTTTTAATTGTCTCTGGTCTGTAAGATGCCACGTAAGATGCATCGCAACCCGTGCACTGTAGCTTGTAATAACAAATTTTTTTTTGTCCAAGAGTAAAAGGGGATCTTTTTGTGCCCTAATAACATTATTTAATTTATTGATTCTGTAAAATTTATTGATACTGTAAATCGCTAATTTAATTTTGTATCTTTCAACATATTTTAAACTTTTCAGTAACTTTCACATAAGGTAAGGTAAACCAAAGGGTTTTGTTATTAACAGTGCATGTTGTGTCGTCATTATTATGTTTCTTTTTACAATTATAAATTAAAGATTTGATTCTATTATTGATTGTTTTAAAAATAAAATCTAATTGATAGTCATTTTATAAAAGCGTTTTCACCACGAAATCGAAGTTCTTCTCATGAAATTGTAGAGATGTAAGAGATTGTGGTGATGTAAGAGATAAAAAATTCTGTCTATCATGCTCATGACCGTACCCCTCTTCTGTGAAATGGGATGCTGAGACATAAAATTCAAATATCTACCTGAGAATGTTGGTTTGTGTGTATCAATCGAATATTATAGGATTGTTTTCAACAATCGTATCTAAGAAATTAATTTGGCTACCATCGATTTCCGAGGTGAATTGTAATCTCGGATGTATTGAATTAAATCTCACTGCAATGTCATGGACGTAATCCTCTGGTACTGCCCTTAGAATGTCATCCACATATCTATAGTAACATGGTGAAATCAAATGTTTCAAGCACTCCATTCTCTAAGTCTTGCATTATTATGTCAGCCACAATCGGAGAAAGTGATGAGCCCATGGGTGTTCCGAAATTCTTTTTATAGATTTGATCATCAAAACTAAAGAAGGTGGATTCTAAAATTAATCGTATAGTCCCCAGAAATTCATCCTTTGGTATTTTATTTTGGTATTTTACTTGGAGATAAAAACCCATTTGTTTGCTAAACATTCAATCGCCAAATCAATCGGAATATTGGTAAACAAAGATATAACGTCTAACGATATTAATGAAAATTTGTCTTCGATCTTAATATTCGATAATTTTTTGATCAGTTCAAAACTATTCTTTATGTAACTTTTATCCGTCGGAATCGATTTGGTGATGATCCTATTCAGGAATACAGCTAAATTGTAGAAAGGACTGTCTATTGATAAAACTATAAATCAGAAGAGACAATCAGGTTTATGAATCTTCGGAAGTCCATAGGCTTTAGATAAAATAGCGGCGCTACAAAATAAGTGTTTGTATAGTGCATATAAAATCTAATTTTTTTCCATCTTATAAGCAATTTCCTCAGATTGTTGACCATTTTTTTGGTAGGGTTTTTGTTGATTCTCGTGTAAGTATCAATATCCGACAGCATACAATTCATCTTGCAAAGATACTTATTTTTGTCCAATGCAACCGTAATGTTCCCTTTGTCTTTTGTGATGATAACATTCGGATTATTGTGTAAAAATTCCTTAGTATGTCTCCTTAACTGTTCTAATCTTCTTGTGTGTAAAATATTTTTTTGGAAAGGCGAGACAAGTGTCCGGAAAATGGGAATGGGACGATTTCTAATTTCATTTTATGCGGTAACGAGAAATCTTTTAATGTTGTGTTCAATATTTTTAATCAATTCGAATGTTATCTTTTTGCTGTTATTGCAATGGAGTGCAAAATTATCTCCTAGTTGCAAAAAACCTTGTATGTCAGATGTCAACATTGTATGTCAGTATAGGAACATCAGATAGATTCAAAAACCAGTTCTAAGACTGTCCAAGGATGAGAAATCTGTAGGTTTCAAGTAAAGAGTGGGATTTAAGGATTCTACAGATTCCTGACATCACCGAGTTGATGTCAGGAATCTGTAGAAATTGAACATAAAAATCATTAGGACCAAAAAATTGAAATTTGTTGGAGCATAGCATTTCTTGTGAATCAAAATTATTATTATTGTGATACTTGTATCTTCAGTAATAATGTATACGATAACTTTCCATTTTCTCAATAGCCAGCACATTTTTCTGGAAATTCTTTCATTCTCTGTTTTTTCGTAAAAAGACAGACTTCTATCTATTGAAAAAGGAATTGTGTATATTCACCGGTAAACATCGAGAAATATTGTATACAAAACGGAAATTTTCAACTTTACAAAATCAAATGTCTATAAGCGTCGTTAAGTTCCAAAATGCTAGTAATATATGATCTATTTATAATCTTGAATTTAAAATGTGAGTTATGAAAAGTGTTCTGCACTATTACGTAAATGATACAAGTGCGGTGGTGTTATGTCATGGTCTAAGCAAAATTTAAGAAATGTAACGTACGAAATGTACATTTACAATAAAGAGCATTCTTCCTATTCCTAATCCATCTCTTCAACAATACAACGCAATAAAATCCAAAATAAATCTGTATAAAATTAAAAAAAGAAAAGCAATGTGGTGTAGTGCGGTGTGGACAATATATAAACGTGTGTTCCACATTGTTCTTCTTAAAAATTTTGACTTTCCATCCGCACTATTTATCTTTTTACATTTTAATAATTGAAACAATCAAGACGTATTTACTTGTTCTTTTGTTAACTGACTTTTATCTTATTTCTCTGTTAAAAAATTTTTTTATTCTTTTATTTGCTTTATCTTTTATTATGCTTTTGCAATATTCAATATTATTCCCATCTGTGTACTTCTTATTGTTATAACTGGCGATATCATAAAGGTGAGTCTCCAACAGTTCTTTGTTCTTGCTATCGAGAGGATAGGATCATCACTTCTCTGGAGTATCGGTCGTGAGGATTCGAGAGAGAATACATACACATGTATATATGTATGTTGTAATATACGTATATATGTGTATCATATATGTGTATCATTATATTGTTGACATGTTATTCTAAACACGTTATTTGCGATAAATATCATCACGTGCCTCGATAGTCGAAGGAAAAATGCCTGCCTGATAAGCAGGAAATCCAGGTTCGATTCCTGGGGATCAATCATGTAACTTTACGTGCAATTTTTCACTTTTCATTTTTCACTTTTTACTTTTCATTTTTCACACCTTGACATTTCACGTGAAACTTTTCACGTACAGCGATTATGTATGTAGCTTGGATGCGTGGAAATCATGAAACATAGGTTCATCAATCATGTTTCATTCAAGTTTTATAGCTAATGAAAATTATTTTATTGATACAGTATTGTAAACATCTTTTAATAACCAATTGTATATGTACTACGTACACTTAATCCTAACGCAGCCCTAATTCTCTCTCTCTCTAATTCCAAAGCATATTTATTAATTCCCTAGATTTCCACCTTTCCGCCATCAAGGTATATGGCGAAAAAGTTCACGTGAAAAATTTCACATTTCCACGTTTGAGAGAGTTACATGATCCTACAAAATCGTACATGATCGTAAGTTCACGTGAAACTTTTCACTTTTTCACGTTTCCGCCCTAGGGGAAAAGTTAT